TAAATTTGGCTGCACCGACCGCTGTGGCAACGGGCCAGACTGCAAACTATTGAACTACGGCATGGCTTGGTCCAGCAGGGCTCGGCTGCGAACGGGATCAAAAATCATACTGAATCGGAGTCGGAAATTGTTATGGCGAAGAATTAAAGAAGGAGGGATGATAAGAGAACAGGATTATGGGGCTAAAAACACGTGCCACGAAACCATACGCCGTCACGTTGTACATTCATGTAAAAAGAAATCATACAGGGAAGAATCTGCCCGTGTTCCGTGGCTGTGTTTCGCCCCTGTATAAAAATCAAACCAGTACGCTCTGAATCTCATGGTCAGTGCCTATTATTGGAATAAATCAATATTCTTATGATGCTTACAATTAAAAACAAAGTCTTTTATTTAACACTATGTCTCAGAAGGGTACAGATTTATAAAGGAATGTTTTGGATGAAACTAAATTTTGGTCAGTCATCCAAGAATATATCATAATCACAAATCTGGCTGAAAAAAGTTCAGTGGTAAAAGTGAGCACGCATGCTAAAACGGAAGTGATGGTCAGTTTCGAACAAGTACCGGATGAGGATAGTCTTGCAGAGGCAGCAGCGCTTCCCCCATACTTCATGCAGTCGATTAAAGTATGGCAAAAATTTGTAGATATGTTTTGCAGCAACGAAAAGAGAAGGGGCGAAGCCTGTTAAATCTAAGCGATTTGGATCGGCTTCGGAATCCGGCCTATTTCCGCTGCGAACGGGAGAATCGTGGCGGTATGGGCCATAATCGATTGGATCGCTTTACTCCAACAATGGTCACCACTCCTTCAGCACCGTGCTGTTTTTCAAACGTGAATTGGCGATCGAGAAGTGAAACATCGCTTTACTGTGAAAGACTTTGAAAGATGAGGATCAGCTTTGACTTCCTTCCAAACTGTGTTGTAAGAAACCCGAATGTATAATATGCCAGCTGTCGAAAAATCGGACTCGATCCACATCCTGTTCCGTAGCTAGCAATCAATCTCTAGGAGAAGTGTCATAATCCAAACAAACTGAACAAGCTCGAGATGCAGCGATACTTAACTCCGGGGTCCAATCAGGATCAGATCCTCCCAAAATCGTTGGCGAAGCGCACCGGGCGGGACCGTGCGATCATGCGCTTTTGCAATATTTCGTACTGTAATGAGATCGCTCAGAAACCCAGTAGCTAGAAATATGTGATACACTGGTCCTCTAAGTCTGGGAAGATAACTGTCTACGCGGTATTTGGACAGGGGACATTTCGGCGACATTTCAGCTTTCTGAATTTTGTTCTTGAGTTAGCAATTTACCTGCCAGAAATATTCACGAGGCCGTACACGACAACTACGTATCCCTGGGGGCTGAGTTTGGCAAATTTAAGCTGTACATGGGTTGGGAACATTTCCTGAAAATTTCAGCCTTCAGACTTTTCTGGTTCTCGAGTTAGTTATTTCTGCGCCAAAAAATTTCATGAGGTCGTACTTGAGAACCATTTGTGCTGAGGGGCTGAATTTGATAATTCTAAGTTGCACTTGTGCGGGGAACATTACCTGAAAATTTCAGTCTCCCAGCTTTCTTTGTTCCCGATTTAGCAATTTTAGCGCCAGGAACCCTCACGGGGCCATACGCGAAAACCACGCGTGCCTGGGGGCTGAATTTGAAATCTTTGAGTTCTATGGTGACGGGGGGCATAACCTCAAAATTTCAGTTTTCTGGCTTTTTTGGTTCCCGAGTTAGCGATTTTCAAGCCAGAACTTTCATCCCTTCGTAAGCGGGGCCCAGCCGCGGTCCTGGGGCGGCATTTGGCCGGGAACCATCAGCAAAATTTTGTCGCTGGGGCTTGCTTGGTTGCTGAGTTGAAATACCCTGACAGACACACACACAGGCACACACACACAGGCACACACACACATACACACACACCGGGGTCGTCACAATATGCGTTTTTGCATTTGCATATAAGCAAAAACGCATCACCAAGATCCGGCGGTCTTGAAACTTACTATGCATTTAAAGCATAGCGTATATGAGCGACAACTGTAAAGCATCTAAACCTTGCCAACATGAAATAGTTAAAACAGTAAGCAGAACAGTTTGATATTAAGGCGAAATCACGAAATCATGATCTGCACAACCGACGAGACACTTTCAAACGCCGTACGGATCAAAGACACCAGCTGTCACTACGCTATCCTTGTTGCTAACTGATGTCTGTTGCAAACTGCTGTCCGTTGCAAAGTAATGTCCGTTGCAAAGCGATGTCTGTTGCCAAATGGTATCTGTTACTTAGTGCTTTCTATTGTAAAGTGGCAAAGTGGTTTCAGTTGCGAAGTGGTTTCTGCTGTCTGTTGCAAAGTGGTGTCTTTTCTTTTAAAAAGTGGCGTCTTTTGCAGGGTGGTGTCTGTTGCAGATTAGTGTCTAGTCCAAAGTGTAGTCCGTTGCAACGTGATTTCTGTTGCAAAGCGTTTTTTTTTTTTCGATTGCGGAGTGGTTTTTGTTGCAGAGTGGTGTCTGTCGCAAAGTAGTGTTTGTTGTAGAGTGGTTTCCCTGCAAAATAGTGTCTGTTGCAGGCTGGTGTCTATTCCAAAATAGTTTCTGTTGCAAAGCGGTTTCTGCTGCAAAACTGTTTCTGTTGCAAGTGGTTTCTGTTGCAGAGTTGTTTCTTTGCAAAGTGGTGTCTGTCGCAAAGCGTTGTCTGTCGCGAAGTGGTGCGTGTTGCAAAGTGGTTTCTGTTTCGAAGTGGTTTCTGTCGTCTGTTGCAAAGTGGCTCCTGCTGCAAACTGGTGTTTGTTGCAAAGTGGTGCCTTTTTACAAAGTGGCGTCTTTTGCAGAGTGGTGTCTGTTGCAGATTGGTGTTTATTCCAAAGTGTTATCTGTTGCAAAGTGGTTTCTATTACAAAGTGATTTCTGGTGCAAAGTGGTTTTTGTTGCAAAGTGGTGTCTGTCGCAAAGTAGTGTCTGTTGCAGACTGGTTTCTATTCCAAAGTGGCTTCTATTGCAAAGTGGATTCTGTTGCAAAGCTGTTTCTGCTGTAAGTGGTTTCTGTTGCAGAGTCATTTTTTTGCGAAGTGGTATCTGTCGCAAAGTGGTGTCTGTCGCAAAGTGGTGTCTGTTGCAAAGTGTTTTCTGTTGTGAAGTGGTTTCTGTTGTCCGTTGAAAAGTGGCTCCTGTTGCAAATTGATGCCTGTTGCAAAGCGGTGTCTTTTACAAAGTGGCGTCTTTTACAAAATCTTTTGCGGAGTGGTAACTGTTGCAGATTGTTGTCCATTCAAAAGTGTTGTCTGTTGCAAAGTGGTTTGTGTTACAAAGTGGATCCAGTTGCAAAGTGTTTTCTGTTGCAAAGTGCTTTCTGTTGCAAACTGGTTTCTGTTGCAAAGTGATTGCCGTTGCAAAGCTGTTTCTGTTGCAGGTGATTTCTGTTGCGAAATGGTTTCTTTGCAAGGTGTTTTCCGTTGCAGAGTAGTTTTTTTGCAAAGCGGTGTTTGTCGCAGGGTGGTGCCTGTCGCAAAGCGGTTTCTGTTGCAAAGTGTTATCTGTCGCAAAGCAGGTTCTGTTGCAAAGCGTCTTCTGTTGCAAGTGGTTTCTGTTGGGGAGTGGTTTCTTTGCATAGTGGTGTCAGTTGCAAAGTGGTGTCCGTTGGAAAATGGTTTCTGTTGCAAAGTGTTTTCTGTTGCAAAGCTGTTTCTGTTGCAAGCGGTTTCTGTTACAGAGAGATTTCTTTGCAAAGAGGTGTCTGTTGCGAAGTGGTTTCTGTTGCAGAGTGGTTTCAGTTGCAAAGCGGTTTCTTTGCAGAGTAGTTTTTGTCGCAAAGCGGTGTCTGTCGTAAAATAGTGTCTGTTGCAGACTTGTTTCTATTCCAAAGTGTTATCTGTTGCAAATTGGTTTCTGCTGCAAAGTGGTTTCTGTTGCAAGTGGTTTCTGTTGCATACTGGTTTCTTTGCACGGTGGTGTCTGTTGCGAAGTGGTTTCTGTTGCGATTGGTTTCTGTTGCAGAGTGCTTTCCTTGCAAGGTGGTGTCTGCTGCGAATTGGCTTCTATTGCGAAGTGGTTTCTGTTGCAAGATAGTTTCTCTTGCAAGGCTGTTTCTGTTGCAAGTGGTTTCTGTTGCAGAGTCATTTCTTTGCAAATTGGTATCTGTTGGAAAGTGGTGTCTGTCGCAAGGCGGTGTCTGTTGCAATGTGGTTTCTGTTGCGAAGTTGTTTTGTGTCGTCTGTTGCAAAGTGGCTGCTGTTGCAAACTGGCGCCTGTTGCAAATTGGTGTCTTTTACAAAATAGCGTCTTTTGCAGAGTGGTATCTGTTCTAGATTGGAGTTTATTCTAAAGAAGTTTTGTTGCAAGGCTGTTTCTTTTGCGAGTGGTTTCTGTTGCAAAGTGGTTTCTGTTGCGGAGTTGTTTTTGTTGCAAAGTGGCGTCTGCCGAAAAGTAGTGTCTGTTGCAGACTGGTTTCTGTCCCAAGGTGGTTTCTGTTGCAAAGTGGATTCTGTTGCAGAGTGGCTTTTGTTGTAAAGTGGTTTCTGTTGCAAGTGATTTCTGTTGTAGGGTCGTTTCTTTGCAAAGTGGTGTCTGTCGCAAAGTGATGCTTACTGCAAAGTGGTATCTGTAGCGAAGTAGTTTCTGCCGTCTGTTGCAAAGTGGCTGCTGTTCCAAACTGGTGCCTGCTTCAAGGTAGTGCCTTTTACAAAGGGGCATCTTTTGCGAAGTGGTGTCTGTTGCAGATTGGTGTCTATTCCAGTGTGGTTTCTGTCGCAGAGTGGTTTCTGTTGCAAAGTGAATAGTGTTGCAAAGTGATTTTTGTTGCAAAGTGATGTCTGTTGCAAAGGTGTTTCTGTTGCAAGTGGTTTCTATTGCAGAGTCGTTTCTTTGCAAACTGGCGTCTATCGCAATGTGGTGTCTGTCGCAAAGTGGTGCGTGTTGCAAAGTGGTTCCTGTTACGAAGTGGTTTCTGTCGTCTGTTGCAATGTGTCTCCTGTTGTAAACTGATGCCTGTCGCAAAGTGATGTCGGCCGCAAAGTGGTGTCAGTCGCAAATTGGTGCCTGTTGCAGAGTGGTTTCTGCTGCAAAGTGCCGCTCGTCGCAAAGTGGTGTCTGTTGCATACTAATGTCTATTCCAAAGTGTGTATGTAGTAATGTCGTGTCTGGTGCAAAATGGTGTTTGTTGCAAACTAGTGCCTATTCCAAAGCGGTCTCTGTTGCAAGATAGATTCTGTTGCAAAATGGTGTCTATTCCAAAGCGGTTTCTTTTGCAAAGTGGTATCTGCTGCAGAATGGTTTTTGTTGCAAAGTGGTGTAAGCTCCAAAGTGGGGTTCCCCGCAGAGTAGTTTCGATTGCAGAGTATTGTCTGTTGCAAAGCAATTTCTAGTGCAAGGTGGTTCCCGTTGCAAATTGGTTTCTGTTACAAAGTGGTGTCTGCTGCAAAGTGTCGCAAGGTGATGTCTGTTTCAAAATGGTATGTTTTGCAATGCGGTTTCCGTCGCAAAGTAGTGTTTGTTGCATAGTGGTTTCCTTTGCAAGATTGTGCCCGTCGCAAAGCAGTGTGTTTCGAAAGTGGTTCCCGTTGGAAAGTGTTTCTGTTGCAAAGTAGTGCACGTTCCAAAGAAGAGTCCGTTACAAGGTGGTTTCTGTTGGAAAGTGCAACAAAAACCTTTTGCAAAGTAGTTTCTGCTGCAAAGCGGTCTCTTTTGCACAGTGGTTTCTGTTGCAAAGTGGTTTCTATTGCAGACAGGTTTCTATTCCAAAGTGGTGCCTACTGCGAAGAGGCGTCTGTTGCAAAATGGTGTGTGTTGCAAAGCGCTTTCTGTCGCAAAATTGTGCCGTTGCATCGTTGCAAAGTGGTGTCCGTTTCAAAGCCGTTTCTGTTGGAAAGTAGTGTTTGTTGCCAGCTG